TAGAAATACAAAACCCCGACAAATTAATCACAGTTCAATTTCCAGCAGAAATTACTCTTCATTCTTATCACGTATTAGTCAAAACACTGCTAGACAATTTCACAGATGCCTTTCACTGAACTGGGCATGTTCGCCAAGTCCCTTTTGTGAGCAGATTCAGTGCACACTCTGCTCCCAAATGATAACCAATCCAGAATGCTGGCCTCGACTAGCAATGGTGCTAACCGCTACTTTATTCTACACAACGCTCATAACAATATATTTGTTATGTCAAGCCGTGAGGAAAATATATAAAGGAATGAAAACCATAATAACATCCTTACCGCAGCAAAGAATTTCTACCCCTTTCGACGAAGGCCCCGACGCAACTCGTCGACACAATCTATTCCCTTGATTCAAATCAACAACGAAAGTAACAAGAAGTGGAAAACTTCGACATTCATCCGACTTTTGGCCATATGCGCCGTCTCCCAACAACTTCACGCATGCCAACAAGTGATCCTTGTTCCTTCAAGCATCAGCCAATGTAACTCAAGAACTCATAACTGTGATAACATCACTACAATTATAGCCAAATTCAATACCATGCAAACCGAACTATGCTTACAAGTAGAACACAAAAATCATCGTCGACATCTCATGAAAATAACGGTGGAAAAACTTATACTTAAATGTCAAAAAGAGACACTTTACTTCACTCAAAATACCGAAACACACGTGCAGTCCCGCAAACGATGTCCACATATGGTTCTTGCATAGGATCAAAATGCGCAGCAATCTCACCCGACACCCTGGTTAAGGAACTCGACGTTGCTAACAACTTTCCCAGAATAACCTACCGCACAGAGTCATGTGGTGGATGGGGATGCTTATGCGGCTTTCCGTCGTCAGGATGCCTTTTCTATCGAATTTGTCGCACCCCAAAAGACGAGGAAATTTACGAAGTATTTCACTGCCCCACATGGCATGAAACTGTCAAACTCAAAATCGAACAAACCCATACTCACGACGCGCACAGAGTATTCACAGGAGAAATCAAACCTTACACCATTCGTTCCCCCAGCAAACATCAAAATAGAAGTAACATCTTTCCCTAGCCCTCTAATAGCCATTCAATACAAACGCTTCGTAACCAACAACAAGACAACAGCATATTTAGATGACGACGCTACATTTAGCTACGCCTGCACTAACAACCCTTCCTCTTTGAACACCTCCACTTCAACATGTGCCATAAAAGACACTTGCAAATGCAACCCTGCAAAAGACTCAATATCGTGCTATTGCATGCAAAACGACGTTTCACACCTGCGCCACTTACCCAATGTACTACCACTTCCAATTCCAAATGGGGTCATCATAGCAGGACCAAAAAAGATACCCCAAATTCGTACAAGTACATTTGTCGCAGAGCTAGCAATACATCTTGATCCAACAAGCTTTCAAATAGAACAACACATGGTGGATTTCTATTGCACTATTATACCAATTAGTTTTGGCGGGTGTTACGACTGCTATAAGGGAGCGGAGGTCAAAATCAGTTGCGCGGCAGATGTGCAGCACGCAATAGCACAGGTGACGTGCGAAACGCAACAGTTCGTACTCACCTGCACAAGACAGGGAAAAACAAACCAAATGCGTCTATTCTTCAACAGTGCGCGCATCAAAGAACAATGTCAAGCCCAATGCGGGTCTCAAGCAATTGTATTCGAAATCAAGGGTACATTAAATTACATCACCGGTTTAAGACCCTTGTGGAATTATACAAAACAATGGAACAACACAACTCAAGATGACTACGCCTTTGATCCATCATTGAACTTTCCAGATTTTAACCATTTTCTTGCAATGCAAAACCTTTTTCCTGTTCACCGCTACAGTTCTCATCATCATGCCATTTCTCATGGCTATCAGCATAGCGTATCTATGCTCAAGTAAAACGAAAACATCAACGCCAGCGTCTCGATCCTCAACACCGACATTCCTCATACCATTCCCGATGTTACTCGCCTTCTCGCTCTTAACTCTCGTTTTCAAGCGACTCTTCTTTCTAGTTTCTTGTACTATACGTCTGCCCTTTACGTTTGCAAAGTTCTTAATGCATAAGCTACTCCAACAACACAACTCTCCGCGCTTACCGTATTTTTCGATCAAAAGTATTCCGCAACAGTAGTTAGAAAGTCAAATTTCAGCAATGGCGGAGGAGGAACAAAATGTCGTCGAAGAAGAAGTACCTGCGGAGTCCGACAACAATAATGTTAATCAACAGCAAGATCAACAACCACAAGAAGAATAACAACAACATCAAGGACCCCAGCAACAACAACAACAAGAACCTCAACAACAACAAGGGCAGGAACAAGGGCAACCAGCGTTCGATTTCGAGGGACTTCGACGGCAAATACCCGAAGAAAAGGACCTGTCACTGATGTACGCCAAAATTCAAAGAATTTTGGGTCGTACAGACGCTATCAGCTCAATGAAGAACAGGATAGATATGATCCATGTAAGTACCCTCCTATTCAAATCACTTTCTTGTTTCAATATCAAATTTTCAATTACTTTATTCTGAAATTCTCGTGTGTTAACCTCCCTTTTTGATTCGAACCTATCAATTTTGCAACAAACAACCTCAAGTTTAGGAATGACTTTTGCGCGCTTGATAACACTCTTTAAGAAAAAGAGGATATTCCCAAAAAAGGCAAAACATACACGGGACGGTAAAACCCTTCTAATGGAAAATACTTCACAACAACACCCACAGAAAAAACGCGAAATTGATGAGGTACTGCCTCCGTATTAACTCAAATTTTGATTAAATGATAGTAAACCATTTTTATAGCTCTAGTCAACATTTCCAGCGTGAAGTGCACGTGGTTGAACATAGCGTACAGTCAATCAAGGATCTCATGGAGGAAGCGATGGACGCACTCGTGAACCTTTAGAAACAAATTCTCAATGAGATTCAAGCGCAAGTCAATGCAAGACAAGGACAAGACGACCCTCATGCCCAGGCCATGCAACCGGGCCCGAGCTGGGCCGTTGCAGTACCTGTCACCAAGAGGTGCGCGTTCTGCGACGGCGATCACTACGCCTGCGATTGCGGGCGTTTCTATAACCTTCGTGATAGACGCCGTTGCTTGTCTGAGCGTGATCGTTGCGAGCGGTGCCTACTAAAGACGACACACCTTGCAACATCATGCCCAGCCACATCGACTTGTTTTTATTGTAAAAGTGCTAAACGCGAGAAAGAAATGTACTCACACCACTCTGCATTTTGTCCATTCAAATTTCCAATGTAATATGCAATTTTCATTCTCTTCTCAATTGTAATCCGCTCTTCAATTGTAATTGTTCCTTCAAGTAGTTACTAATTCAATTCAACCTTGCCATCCGAACGTAGTTACTCATTCGATAGTACGCATTTTTTTCTTCAATTAATGTTCTTTAGTTACTATATCAATGTCATTACAACTTGCTTACTCAACATTCATATGGAAATTGGTCGATTTGGTAGAACATTGAACGATTGAATAGTATACTGAATAAATCATCAATATCATAACTTTATCACACAGAAGTAGCATAATAGTGAAAACCAAACAAGGTCAAAAAATAAAAACAAACAAACAAAAAAAACAAAAAACCAAAAAAAAACAAAACAAAACAAAAAAAAACGAAAAAAATCAATGACCGCCGCAAACGGAAACGCAAGCCTATACCATAGAACTCGTCAGATGTAGGAGCAAGAGCGCGGGTGTCTACAAGTCGAATCGTACTTTTATTCAGACTTTAGCTGCACCACCTTCAACGACGCCACGTACAACTAAATTATGGAGCCAGCGCATGGATACCGAATAATGCGAGCGAGCGGGTGCAGTGCAAGTGTGGTAGCGATCAACTCAGACGCTAGGACACACCCATCCCTCAAATTTCGACATCGTGAACTAGACGACATTATAAATTCCTTTGTTAACTAACATCATTGTTACGCATTTTTCTTAATGTAATGTCTTTCTTTATCCAGGCTACTGCAGCTCAATATCTCAACCTTCAAGTCTCTTTAATTCACTCAAAAAATTAATCTATTTTATCAACCTTTCGCCTTGTGGGGAGGAAGCCAGAACAAAGTCAACTTGTTACTGGCTATCACGCTTGCCTGGGGAGTGTCATGAACCTCGGTTCATGATGTATTGTCGTCCAAGGGGTATAAAGGCTCAGAAGAGCTTCAGGCGAGGGAAGACTTCGCAGCTTCTAGGGCGGGACGCCGCAGTGACCGCCCTCCCTGCAGCTCGAGGATCAGCCCCGCAGCCCCGCAGCCAGGACTGAGGATCCCACAGGCAATAGCCGACCACGGATGGAGGCTGAGCCGGGGAAGGTCTGGCTGGCAGTCTCGTCTGCAGGTGGACCCACGAAGACGTAGGTTAGCGGAAGGTAGGGTACTCAAGGTCAACTTAAAAATCATCAAGATTCAAGTTCAACAAGATTCAAGTAGCCGGGTAGCCTTAATGATGTTTTGTTGTAAAAGGATTCTAGCAATGTTGTATTTTTCACGCTCACACAATGTAGTTTATTGTTAGACGTTATGTTACGTTGTCAAGTAACCGAGGAAATAAAAGAGTTGTATGTATCAAGGTGTAAAGGTACATAAAAGAACCACCAACCCTACATTTGGGAGTGATGCCCCAAAACACTGACCGACAGGAAACTGCTAACTGCTTACAGGAAATCCGTGCTGCTTCATTACGGGGTTAGGAAATCCGTGCTGCTTCATTACGAGGCTACGTTCGTCTGCACTATTGCTGGCGAAGCACAGCTTTATGTTATGCATTCTCCCGCATAGGCGACAATTGTTTCGGGAACATTGGACACTTGAATGCTGAGAGGAGTAGCATTTCCAATAGAGCTACAATTTCAACACTTACGGGCAGCAACACTTACGGGCTACAATTTCTCTCTTCTTGTTGATGTATAATGGAGATTGACACTGCCAAGTTAAGTGACCGTTCCTTTCGCACAAAGCACAGATCTGTGCTGTTGAGCCTACGTCACTTGCCGAAGGAATTTCTTTGACTCGTAAGTGGGGATCCGCGATTGAACGTATGCTTTTGCCGAGATTTCGTCATTAATAAATTCCATGATGGCGTCCACAGTGAGATCATCGTATTCCCTCACCTTTACGAGTAGCGGCTCAACGATGTATTCAGGGAATTTGCTAAGAATCGCTTCAATCCATAGAGCGTCTTTGGCCGATCGTACGTCCTGACCGGTTGAGTACATCTGATTCAAGAGCAAGCAAATAGCGTCATACACTTTTTTCGCAGCTCTCAGCCATTCTGTTAGCCCTTTGTAATTCGTTGAGATGTTGAACTATACGAGCTCTATTGGCTGGCCGGTTTCCCTTTTTTTGTGAAGAGTTCTGATCATCCATTCATAATTC